TATATAAATATATAATTCATATTTTTAATATTAAAAAAAAATACATTTTCTATCTTAATCATTATTTATATTTTATTGTTATTTATATCTTTTAATTGCTTCCACACATCTCATATATATTTTATACTTTTGTACATATTTAAAAAATAACTCGCATATTCCGTACATTATCCCGTTATAGAAATATTTTTAAAACTGTACCTTGTTTGTAATATTTCTGAATACGTATATTAAGTAAAGACTGCTTCTTTATTGAATTATCTTTTTCTGACAATGAAGTGCACTTACCACCAGCGTCGCCGGCTCTTTGCTTCGGCCTTTTCGCGTCTTTCCAATGAAGCGTGACACCTTGCCTGTCTCTGCGACTTTTCGGACTATGAAGTACTGCCGGCCGTAATTTCGATGTGGCAGTAGCAGACGGCAAACTCAATGGTCGATTCTTTCCACTTACGAGGGCATTTTTACCCACTAACAGATGATTCATGGCTGTGGAAGTGGGCGGAGGTACCATGGTCTGACGCGCACACGCGGCTAGAATATAAGAAATCGTTTAGAGAATAAGAATAGTGCTTATATATATTTTACTGTTAGATAAGGTGGATTGATAAATAGTCCTAGTATGTATGTACATGCAATCTTTAATGTAAATATCGATAAAAGAACCTCTGTGCTTTTGCTATATAAAATGAAATCTTTGTCATTGTTTTGCTATTGTTTTTCCTTCTGATGGAAATATCGATAAAAGAATTTCTGCGCTTTTGCTGTATGAAATGAAATCTTTGTCATTGTTTTGCTATTGTGTTTTTCCTTTAATATATTGGTTAATGAAAAGATATTGTTACGTTATAATAGAAAGGAAATCATTCGTTTCATTCGTCTCTTTTTATAAAACGTTTATATTCTTTATATAAAATAATAATTCTAACATTTAGTTAGGTTTATTGCTATATAAAATTAAACAAGTTGGGGTAGTAAAAGATTGATAATTCATATTATGGTTTATTATTAAATACCTCGTCCTTATAAAGTTCGTAAATTCCTAGTATATTTTTAAATGCATTTTTAATTCAGTTTTGGAAATGTATTTTATTATGAAAATGTCACAGTTTTGAGTTTATCGGCGTGTGCTGCGATTGAACGTCATACGGATTTCATTCATCTATCAAGAAGGTGTATGAAGCGGCTATTTCAAATTGAAGCATATCACGCAGAGTTGCAACTTTTGATTTTTACGTGATAGGTCATAATATCTCGAAAGGTCACGACGATCGTTATCGTGTATACTCGTCCGTATTGAAATATGACGATAGTCCAACCGTAAACACAAACGTAAATTTAGTTTCATTCATGAATATAAAATAAGCTGGCTTATGGTGACAAGTAGAAGATAAGTATTATTGCGCTAATGTATTGCTGTTCATAAAGCTTTCATAACATGTATCATCAAACCTACGCACGTTTTTCGATTATAAAGATACATACAACGCGAGAAATGTGGAATTTTCATATAGTTCCAACGTTACGTGGTAACCTAATAATTTCAATTAATATTGACAGTAGAGAAATTGTTATGGAATCTTTGTTTGCAATAATGTAATGTGAATATTTATTCGATAATTATATATCACATTTATACAACCAATTTATTCCTTAATAGCGATTTGATCGTTTCTCATTTAATCCAACTTATTCAATGAACGTATACAGGGTGAGGCATTTAAAACAGATCATCTGAATAACTCGCTTGTTTTTAACAATAGAAAGAAAAGTATCAAACAAAAGTTGCTTGGTTTCGAGGAGCACTTATGTGATGTCAATAATTGTTTTGTAGGTGGAGGCGTAAAGGATAGGTAATAAAGGTCAAATCTGTTTTTTTTTAATAGAATGATGTTTTTTTTACATGCTGATATAGCATTCTAAGACGAATACAGACCTATAATTAAGGTTATTCAACGATACGCAAAGTCAATTAATAATGGAAAATAATTGAATGGAAAATAAATTGTTTCAAGGCACTCTTCGAATAATTTCGTGTCTTTTCTGCTTGTTCGTATACCGCTAATCGTCTTCAAGTGTATCACGGTATGTAAAAATAAACATTAAATCGCATATAGCATTATCCATATTTACTGATTAGTTTGAATTTATCTATCGATCGAACTGCGTGTCTTGCGAAATATATAGATAAAAATTATATTGACTATTTCCGCTTTCGTATTTCGCACATTTTCTTTCTACTGTTAAAAACAAGCGAGTTATTCAAGTGACCTGTTTTAAATGCCTCGCCCTGTTGTAGTGCATATTTATATTATAATTTATATTGCAATTTAAAGTCTCACATATATGTATATGAATGTGATAAAACATTTTTTTTTTATTTTTAATTAGATACCGTTCTATTGAAGATTTGTCTTTTTCTAGAATTTATATTGTATATTATTTCTTACAATATAAATTTTAAAGAATGTATTAAAGCTTAAATTTTTATAACTATGCAATTATAGAACGCTTGCCATACTCATCTGTCATTACCAGAAAGTATTATATGTGCTTGTCGCTGCCTCTCCCGTAGTTTTGCATATTGCTGCTTTAGTGTACTAATATCTAAAGCAAGGCGTTCTCGATCGCTACTGGGTGCCATCGCTTGTAACGCTCCTATTGTCGAAGGTAAACGATCTGAAATCGATAATTTTTTTAAAAAAAACAAATAAGATAGATATTGGTCAATATGATATTTTAAGCCTTCATGTTTCTTTTGCAAAACAAATTCTGCTGTAACTTAAGATAACAATTGTATCTAATATTCGTAATGCATGACATCTACAAAACATTAAAAGTTTAATTTGTTGTGTTTTGAAATACAATATATGAAATGTTCGTTAAATTAGCTAATAAATTCATTTTTAATATGATCGTAAAAAAAGTATATACTACAAAATCAGGTAATTATAGCCCAAATTTTAGAAAATGCTTAGACAACTTGCATAATCAAAATTGAAATTTCTGAACGGCTTTAAAACATCTTATATTCCGATTTTGGATCACTGCTGTTTGAGCATTACAAAAATTTGAGCCGAAGATACTCTGGTTTAAAGCTAGTTATCCTATTTTACATTATCTTATAATATCATTATATTATAATTATACATGTTGATATATTGATGTTATAAAATATATTGATATTCAAAATGCAGTTTGTGTAAGGCAACATTATGATGTTCACATCTTTATATAAAACGTTGGTAGGACGTGCCTTATCATGTTTTTTTATTTTAACATTGTTGAAATATTCATTGGATTCATATTAAAAGAAAATGATTACCTTTCTTTATACGTTGAGCCATACTGAACATGGCAGCCGCTACAGCTAATCTCTCATCTTCTTCTGTTTCGCTGTCATCATCATCACTTAGTTTGCGCGCCCACGGGGTGATGTTATATCGATGCTTTTCTCTCAAGCTTGTTACACCATGTAAGGGTCCCATGCTAACAATGTTCTGCCAAAACAATTCGCATATGAATTATTATTTGTGATATCAGATATGTATAGCAATTTGTAATAGATAACATAATCATAAAAGCAGAAAATATTATCATGCAGAATCTTTTAATCGAATTACATTTTCGTTATCAAACTCTGTATAATGGTACTCAACCTTAATGAGATTATTTGTATCGGTGAATTCTAGCATTTCTCTCGTGAGAACTCCCATTATACTATAAAACTCGTCCGCTGATGTTACGGTCATTATGCGACTATAGAAACACAATTAGACATTTTATTTGTTATATGTAATAATCAAAGAAATAATAGATATGTAATTTTGTTACGTAATGTTAGTAAATTTAATTTAATTTAAAACTCACTCTGAGAGGCCTTCCCAGATAGCGAGTGCCGTTCTAAGGAGTACTTCATCACCTTCGAGAAATATCAGATCCCAGACACGAAGCACTGCTTCCTGTGGTAAACAGTGGCAGAAAAGTGTAAGGAACCATTGCATGGTGAACACATTCGTGAGCGGCGGCTCGTAGCTACTTCCTGAAAACCAACGAATATTATTATTTATTATAATAATCTCCGATCAAGAAAAGTGAGCGCAATGGAAATAAATTAAGTTAAATTGTTTAGAAATTATCGTTACTACGATAAAAAAGTATCATGTATTAATTTCAATTTAACGAATTCTTTTTAAGTATAAATGTTTTATTTAAATGGTATTTCTATATAGAATAGAATCGATTGATTTTCTAATTATTTTGGTTTAAAGACGTCATCTTGGTCATCTTGAAAATATTTACATTTACTTGAAAGAATTGAAATGTTTACTGCATCATCACATGCAAACGTTACATAAACATTTTAAGAGGATAAAATATATTTTATTTCCAATGTCGATACTATAAGGTACTCGTTCAGCGAAACTGTATACATCTCAATTTCCAGCTGTGTCATCGCAATACCCCATCGCCAAGCGCGTCTCTGTATTTCTTACGCTCATCCCCTCAAGTTTCTATTTCATCAACTCTACGTACCCGTCGCTTTATCCTTCGCATCACTCTGGAGCGCCTCAAGGTGCTTGGACAATTTCGGCAACCTCGAACGCAAAAGGTCCCGAAATACTGCCATGTCCACAGAGAGGCCTCGCAAATTGTCGGCGAAATAGCCCTCTGGTAGAACACCTTCTATTAAATATATCATCACCTTTACAGCCGAAGATTCCGCGCGGTCCATTACTTGCAAAACGAGGGCGGCTAGAACATTCAAACCCTGGCAGTAGCCCACGGACTTGTTCCAACGAGCGAAACCGAGTAATACCCGACGAAGCACCGCTTGATTGTCCCGGCCAGCAGCACCGCAAAACAGGCTGCAGCCTGTTCTGTGCAGGTCCTGCGAATTGTAACGACTTTTACGTTGTTGAATTAGCTGAAGATTGCTTCGGTAACTTTTGAGCCTTGTCGAATCAGCAGCGTAATTACGCACACCAGTGCAATTGCAGCCAACTTAATTTTTCATAATTTATCTGAGACTTCTCATTAACACGTTCCGTGCCGTATGGATCACCGGATCTACACTGGACTTTCCATTCAAGTTATTTGATATTATAAAAAAAGAATCATTTCTTTTTCAAAGAATGATAAAAAAAACATAGTTATAAAATATTTTTTATATCTTAGTGGATAATTATGATATATATACAATACAATATTGATATATTAAACTTTTACTCGTATAATTATTTTTCTAATTTTTGTAATCATTGAAATACATGTTATTTACAAATATATATGTAACAATTGATTAACAAATATAGCGAACATGAACAAATAATTGGATCATTAGTGACCTACACTACATGGGGTCATAAATTGACCCGGCACAGAACGTATTAAATTTTCATAATATGTGTAGCGCATGAATAGATAATTAATGTATCAAATCATTTGATAACAGTGCGAGTAAACAATTGAATGAGGATTAAAAAGCAGTAAATATTAATTTCCGCTGGAAAATTTTTATTAACACGCAATGAAATGATTACGACCTAGGTGAACATTAATTACAAAAGTAAGTTGTGACTATTAGTTATTTGTCGTTATAGGTCGTGATATATCACGATCTATAACAATTCGAACATAATTGAGCGTAATTAATAATAATCAGGACTAGGACTATAAATTTATGTGAAGTTGATGTAACTTGACGCGCTCATATAGATCGCGTATTAGATTGCAGTTTATTTTTAGAAGAGCTACTTGTTCTAATTATGCATTGTACTCGCCTTAATCTAAACCATATTACGTAACATTCAGCTTCCTATCTTTAGTTTCTTTAGCTTATTCCTTTTAACCAGTTGAAACATTTATGAACTACAAAGTTATGTTTATGACATGATATTTTCGTGCCACGAATTTTAAAGTATATCAAAGTAAATGTATCGCCATCTCTCTAAATGCTCCTTTCGGAGTTGCGCATCTAGAGATGTTCTTCTCGTTGAATTAACCGGGTCGCCCTTTATTTCGGAGATAGCTCGACAAACTGAGCATGTCGTGCAGACGATATCATACAGGAAGTTACATTGTTTAAGTTACATTGTTTGAATAACTTCAAGTTTCTTTGAATTCTCTTATCAAAAAGGTTTAAAAAAAAATTAAAACATTTTATTTAATAATGCAATAATTAACGTTAACGTTTTTTAGAACTGTACAAAAAGGAAAACTTATTTTTATTATATATACTGTAAAACACATAAAGAAAAAAAAACAATAGATACTATACCGTTCTTTTTCTCAACGTTATAGTATACAAAACACAATATAGTAATTATTATACCTATATATATAGATGGCAACTATATATTTTATATGTAAAATTAATGTACATAATTGAATAGACTATTTTATAGTTAACATGAAATTGTTTATTTAACTATGTACATTAATTCTACATAATACAAAACTTATATAGTTGTCATCTATGTACTCATCACTGCTGTTTTGCACTTTTTCTCTGAGTGCGGACAACTATTTATGTCGAAATTTGTTACGCGGTTATGTGCGGCTTAGTGCTGAACAATTAGACACTTACCTTCACAATTTGTATGCCGAGTTCTTCGTCGTCAGGATTACTCCACTCGTTGAAACAGACCTTCTCAGCCTGCTTCCAATCTACGCCGCGTTGATCCAGATGACGCTCCGCCAACGTTAGCCACAACTGCAGAAGAATAATAATTTATTTCTTGTACACTTCTAGTTATGAATTCTTTGAATTTTTTATATTTTCCATGCTGTGCTCTTTCATGAATAATTCATTACGTAAAAGCAAATCGTAAGGCACTCACCCTTTTTCGAAATTCCGGTGGTATCCCTCCTTGTAATTTGGCAACCATTTTCATCGCGTCTAACCATTGTATGAAACCACTTTCTCCCGGTTGCGGAGTCAAACTGAACCTCATTTTTGTATCTTCGACTAAAATTTAAAAAAAGATTTATTAAAAACGTTTTACTATAAAATAATCTACTTTCAGAATACACACTTTAGCTAACAAAGTTATACTTCATAAATTGTAATTCTTTTGCAGTTCATAAAATACTCTATCTTGTTAACAGTGTTAACTAATTATAAATACATCAGTACGTCAATTACGATATACATCATGAATCACAGAGAGAATCCATTGCTTTGTAACCACAGTAAAAATAAATATTCATTTGAATCGAACCAATAATAATCAAGAAAGCTTGATTGACATAAATGCGTGAATACTTTAATGTTCGATTTGAAATGATAATTTGAATATTTTATGAATCTTTAACTTGTGAAGGTACAATAACCGTCCTGTTCGATTCGATACAAGTGACTGAGAAAGTCGCAGAGTAAAGCAAACTCGATCGCCTTTAACATTTAATAGAAGGGTTGCATGATCGTTTCTATGACAACGTCACTGAAGAATTGCTAGTTTGAGTAGAAATAATCCTACAAAATTCTTAAGGTAGTAAATAACATCGCATCCACGCGTTTACGTCGCATGTTAACCTGCGCATATCAATGAAGCATGCATTGAAAACATTCAATTTCCATATGAACGAATCGGTGCAATAGCAATATTGTCTATTGTCATCTCACAGTATCTTCGAATAAACGAATGTAAGTTGATGGTGGAATTCTATTAATGGCTGAATAAACCATTCCAACCGTACCCGATGATGTGTAAAATCGATATTATTCCTGCTTTTAGAACAATCTGTATTTTGTCTTGTATTGTTGTTGCACGTGTCGAACGTATTTCATTAGAACTGCTACAAGTATGTTGCATTTTATATTGTTTATTACTTTTGTTTTGCCATATTTTCTGAAATTTGGACGAAGTAGCAAACAAAATGTTTGCTGTACACTATTGGAGTAAAATAAACTGGCGCTTTCCTACATTAAATTAATTTTAATATTGCTCTTGATATTTTTGCGACAAGTGCGATTTAATATACAACGCCACTTGCAATTCACAGTTTAAAGTAGTTCATTAATAACACATAAAAGTGTTAGTCAATACTATAAATTTTACGACTGCAGCGAATAACTGTACAATCGAATAGTATAGATACAATTCTCATCAAATTAACTACGAATTAAACGTGCCACGCATTACATTTTATGGATATATATATTTATATATTTCAGTATTATCAAACGTATACAGCACTTTAAATGGAAATTGTATCTTGTGTGGAAATAGCGATAAATGCATTTGCTATTAGTTCAATTCGATAGACTTACAAGCGAATTAGCAGATATTTGTTCCATTCTATCTTACATTTAAAATCTTAACATTATATAAATTTGAAGAACAGTAATATCTATAGTGAAACTATTTAAAAAATAGCTAATGAAAACATAGTTTTATCTTTACAACTTTATATCAAGTGTGTTAACGTAAAATTAAGAACTTACGTGATACGTGACGTTATTATCTTCTCATGTTTTATCGAATTAAAAAAAAAAAAAAAAGAAATTATGTTTCCTTAGATTTCCGTAACGGCAACATGGTATAAGAGTGTAAGCTTATTTAATTACTTTACATTTTATTTCATACTTAGAAATAAAAAGGCTCAACTACGGCGCTTCAAGCTGTAAACAAAGCATGTCGGAGCTATATGTGATACTCATCTTAGCTTGCATTAAGTTAACGTTGCAATGTATCGTAGTCTATGCACCCCTGCAGCAGTATTTAACAGAATTTAATTTACGAGCATTTAGCTCACATGTAGTCTGCATGTGTGTATGAACGTGTGGTTTCGCAAGGTTGATTACGTTGTGCGCGTGCAGCATGAGAGGACATTAGCATGCGAGATAGATTTACAGAAACTGTCGCTTCACCTTCCAGCTCTTCGTATCTTGGGGCAGAGCCGGTAGCACCGGACGCGAGGTTTTTGAGGGAATTGAAAAATCCGTTCATCCTCCAATTAGAAGCGCCACTCTCTCTTCTTCATCGTTTCATTTTCATCTCTCACGTCTTTTATTATGTCGCGCGTACGCTGCTCTCAACCGTTCTCGTGATTCATGATCGGCTGTTCCTCGGTTTATTCTCGTGGGATTCTTTTTATTCGCAATGGATCGCGATGTTCCTCTCGAATACACGATGTTTTTACAGTGACTCTGACTCTGAAAAGTCGGTCGATCCGTTAACTTAAAATTCTAAGTAAGTCCTGCACTCATCTGTGCGAAACTACCGTGATCGTATTTTTAAGAAATCATATTTTATTGATATTAACGTGATTTCACAATACAGATTCTTTTATATTATTTTGTTAATCGTAGAGAGCGTTGCAATTTGGTACAAATATGATTTTATAAAATAATGCGAAAATACTATATACATAATATATTATATTATGTCAGGTCAGTTAATAAGTAATCTTAACTTTATTGTTACATTCAAGGTAAATTTCAGTTAATTATTTTTTCACCCATGTAGTATATAATCTCAATGAAGCGTAAGTGTGTGTTCTTTAATTTTTATCAAGTAACCATTTGATTCACTATCCAACCAAAAATTCAACAAAACATTATTCTTTGTTCTTTTCGTGCCATATGTATAGCTGTACCACCTGTTACAAGCATCACAATGTAGATACCCATGCATTGCAATACATGTATAGCATATACATACGTATATACGTAAATATCTATAGATTGTAAAAGATTGCTTCTTAAGATCTCATTATTTAGGCATAGGATACATATTTGTTGATTACAATATTAAATTTTTTGTTTACATTAGAGTATAACTTAACACATCCTAATTAACGTGTTGATCTGCCTAATGCAAAAAATCCCGCTCTAGCTTGGCCACAGTAAAATACAGATAATCATTGATAAGAGTCGCCAAGCTGATAATAAAATCGATTTTTACTTCACCAGCAGCTGATGAAACCGATAAAATGCTCGAGCAGTTAATCCGATCGCGACTGGTTACAATGCAATTAAGAAGATGCATGCAGGACTTATCGTTTCTCTATTTAAAGTTATATTTATGCCTTTCATGCAATTAGTTCTTTTCAAATCAAGCATTGCGTTAGATTGTTAGGCGTGTTTTTGATATTGTGAGACTAGATATCATGAGACTAGAATTAATTAAGAAATAACAAGAGAGTTTGCAAAATAAATGTTGAATTAAGGAAACTGAAACGTTAGATTTTTTTATTAGACTCGCGATTTTATTCTAGACGGGAACAATCTGCTTGTGCGTGCAATATGGAAGAAAGAGATTCATAGGTGACTTAAATCAGTCACGGTTATCGTGACCACATAAATTTTACTCGTTGTTGTTTCTGCTTCGTTTTAAATATGGTTTTAAAATGGATATTAAAACGGTAAATTTAGCAATTACAATAAAACAAGAACTGTTAAAATTGAGTATAAGTGCAATTTGAATTATGAGTTATTCTTTATGATTCTAAAAGTTCTAAAAAGCTATTATCAATGGAAGAAAATGCAAGTGGCGAACCTCGAGAAATTTTTTATCTTGTCCATAATTTGCCTCCGGAAGTCTGAAAAGATTCACTTGATTGATCACAACTTTCTGTAATATCGATCGCATTATATTTTTCAATGAGATATTAAGGATTCATATATCAATCATTTCATATCTTACGAACAGTTTATAGTTTATTTCAATTGAAATATGATCTAATATTTTCGTAAAAATATATAAAAACTAAAATATGTGCAACAAATTGGAACTTGAAGAATAATTAAAATTAAAAAATTAATATGCTTTTATAAATGAAATAAACCGGCATACTAATTTCAATTGAGTAACGCACACATACACTTTCATTACTGAAAAAAATAATTTGTAGATATTAAAGAATATCAAGCTATTATATAGTGTTTTTTACATTTATCTTACACACACAAAATAATTTTATAAAAATATTTTCATTAAAAGTACTTCCATTTGAAACATTTTAATATTTTAAATCCAAACATCGTGTTTTATTTATTTAAAAAGTCTAAGGCTGATTCTACAATGTGTTTTTTGTTTCCTGTTTCTTGCTGTTTGTCTCTTGCCTTCTTGATTAAAAAGGCAAGAGACAAACAGAGACAAACAGCAAGAAACAGGAAACAAAAAGCACATTGTAGAATTAGCCTAAAATTAAAACATCTTTAAAATATAAAAAACGGAGATAAAAATAAAACATTTCAATATCTCAAAATTAAACACTTTTTTTATGAGTGAACGTAGAAAGAAACTATACTTGCCGATTAAAATTTAATTCTAATTAATTTAAAATATAATTCAAAATATGTTATGGTCGCTCTCTTTAGCTCTTTCACCTTTGTCATTATTTTCTTTCCTTAATTTTTTTAAAGCCTCAATATAGATTGTTCTAGAAATCACAGTTTTGTCGTTTATATGCGTGAAAGGAATTGACCCAATATACGACGCATATTTTTTCTCATTAAACGCACGCGTTCGCGAAGCAACTGAGATTTAAACGTGCACTCCACCGCCATTCACAGTATACCAATCACAATTTGGATCATCGACGGTAGCCGAAAATTCATACTTACTCGCGAGGGATGATATTAAACAAACGCAGTACTTTGACACTTCGACGGAATGAGATTAGCGTGTCATCGGATCGTACCATCTTTATGTCGAGACTCGACAGCGCGCTGTCGGGCAATCGTTGTCGTCGTCGTTGACTATGCAGCGCGACACATCAATGTACATCAGTACATTGTGAAGCACGGATGCACCACAAGCGAACGACCTCGACATGCATGTCCGTCATGCGACACGATTTTGACGAAACCATCCAGAAACGCGAGCGCGCACTTTGTGTGCAGAGGAGATCGCCGTCAGTCTGCTTTCGATTGTCCGGAATTTCCGCGACGTCGGCGTCGCGACGACGCTCCGACAGCTGTCCGAAGCACCTGGAGGAGCGTCTTCATACGACGAGTGCGCCGAGTCAGCTGAACGATAATGGATAGGGTAACTTGCGCGCGCGCAAAACCCAGCAATGAGAACTACGGCGAGGGGGTTACCGCGAGGGGCGGCTGCCTCCTCGTGGAATCCTGCAGTAGGCACTATCGTCGTTCTTCCACGAGTCGCCGTTTTCAACCCCGTGGCGTAGTGATTCTATACGTGCTGCCACTCCCGTTACAACGCATGCGCTTATTACGCAGTTTCTCACTTTACATTATTTCACCCCTATATATCTGATCAATTCAGAAAGAATATGCTTGAAATTGCTGCTTCACAATTGTGGAATTTAAAAAATTTCCCATACTCTGAAAAACTTGTCGAAAAAGTCTTTCTCTAATTCATATTATAATTGTGAATCAACTATGAGACTAAAGCGATCTTTTAACATTATAGAATTGTTGTTTTAATATTTTTTCCTACATTCATGTGAGATTGCATAATCATCCCACGCGTATTATACATGGAAATTATGAAAATTATTAGATTAGCACATGAGAAAATATTAAATGTCAAAATATTAAATTTGGTTATAAATCGAATTATGTTCTAATACAGAAACGTTTGCAAAATATTTTTGTAATATTAAAATATTATATTCTATAAATCTTTTTGAATAAATTTGTCACCTTAAAAAGTCACTTTAAAAAGAAATTTCACTCTTAAAGACTGAAAATTGAGATACTGTTTTTTCAAAACTGGCTCAATCATCATTTTTTAAAGTGAGAGTCTAAAAAATTTAGAATATATATATATATATATATATATATGAAAAACGAAAGTAGAGCATTTAACCACACGCAAGATATTAATAGCGAATAGGTCTTATATTTAAAAAAAATTAATTCATTACATAATACACAAATTCATTATTTGCTAAACCAAACGTTTTAATTTGAGCAGTTTGAATGCCTGAGGCTCTTCAAACTCAATTGAAGAATTTCACTTTAAATAAAAAAATTAATCTTTGACATCTTAACGATAGCAAATATCGGCATATACGATATGGCGGGCCACGGGCTGTTAAATTTTTATTACTCTGAATAATTCATCTGTGAAGGGATTAATGGCTACGAGTCTCGATTAAGTGGAGCAGCGTGACGCGACTTTATCTAATGTGTAATCCTGTACGAAGAGAGATTATTATTATATCAAGCGAACGTGAAAATTAAATTTTTAATGTTCCATGTTAATTATTATACAGAAACTTTGTTATGTATTCTTTGTTTTACATATGTTTACATAATTCAAAATCGCATATCTTTGTAAGAGATTATTTTTTAAAATGTAATGTAACGCCGCATGTAACAATCGAAAGCGTGAAATAAATTGGGGAAAATAAGCTAAATATGTCAAAGCTAATTATTATATTATAACATTGATAAAGAAATATTAAACACGTAATTAATTTAAAAAATAATTAGTCCATCAGTTTCTATGTAGAATTTATGTATATAATTTATATTAATTTATTCTTCCTGCATTTAGAATCCTCCGGAGAATAAATTATTTTCTAACATATATTGTTAGGAATAAAATAATTTATCGGTGAAAAAAAACATTTACAACTTTAGGATTGATATCATCATTGATTTTACCGTTTTGTGGGTCACTCAAAATAGTTAACACCATTACGAGAAATCGAAGCTTTAGTAGATATACACATATATCTGCTGAATCGCTTAATTATAGCTAAAAATGTAAACATATTTGTCTAACGTAATGTAAATAATAATATGGATGTGTAAAAAATACTTTGACTAAATATATATTTTCTATAAATATGATATACCTTTTGTTAATAAATTTCTTCATGTCATAAATGTGATGTTCATATTTTAGATTTATAATAAATAAATTTTATATTTGTGTTATCTGTAGCATAATATCTGTTTCGTATCTAATTATTGTGATGTGTGTCTCCTGAATTGACAGTGTATCATATTGACGAAGCAGCATATATTCGCTAATTCAACGTAATTTGATCAAGTACGACACGTATGGAATGTCAAACTGTTTTATTAGTAAAACAATTGCTACTTAGTGTTCAGTCAGTATAGTTCTACATCTAAGACCGTATAATTCTTTATTATAACTAAATAATAGATATCTTTAGGAATATTATCTTGTATTTCGCGTGCAGTACAATACATCTAACAAAATGAAAGAGTAATTTTTTCCATGTCATTTCAAGTTTATCATTAATTCTTTTAAAGAATATAACAAACAGTATTTTTTTGTAAGAGAGAGAGAGAGAGAGAGAGAGTAACAGATTACAATTAAAAAGGAATACATACGATATTATTTTTAATATATATATATATAAAAGAAATAAAAAATATTATATTTTCTTTACATTTTTATTATATATGTATAATATAGAAGACTACATTAATCTCTTAACTTTCAAGGTTTTACATTCACATTAATATCGCGCATAAACAACACAAAACTTGTTATTTGAATAGCCATGATTAATTGCTCACATTCACAAGCAATCTACCGTTATAAGCGTTGCATTATGGAAACGCGATTCAAGAAATTCATAACCATTTCGATCATCAGGAAGTTTCCGCATCGTGTAGCTTGTTACATGTTTATTCCGTATAAGGGCGGTCGTTGAGCTTTTAATGTTGCTGGGTTAATGGCACAGAAAGTTCATAGGTAACATTCGCGAGCTGGCTCGGAATATCGAATTCATCTTATCTGGTGTAAAAATGATAGGTCATTCAAAAATACGTGAGATCAATAAATCGCAGACGACGCGACGCAGCGGTAAAACGATCGGAGGAAACTGCAGCAAATATATTTGTTAGAAGCGATTTGTCAAATACGAATTCGTGAGATGTAATCTAAAGTTTGCGGATCTCAATTTCCTCTTTTCTTCCAGAATCAAAAATCTATAGAAAAAGGGAAAGTCAAGAGAAGATATGTCTTTTATAATCTATTCGATTTTAAAAAATTTGTCATCGATGAAATGCAATTATTCAATAAAAGTGCCATTAATTTGATTTAAGTATTTCTCTTATTAAAATAAATATTTATTTACTGTTAGTATATACTATTTAAACGAATATTAAATAAACCTTAGTTTTTCAGTGTATATATAAAACACAATTTGCGGTGATTTTCAAGTTGAGTTATCTGTCACCAGATGCATGTAGTCAAATTAGCGGAAGTTTAAATCCGCGGAAAGAACGTGAAGATTCTTCGAGAGGAAAAACCTACGTCAAAATTGCTTCTTTACAACTAAAGTAATTGTCGTTTCTTTTCGCGCGCATTCATCATCGCGAAATTCTCTGTTCCTCGAGTTCATCGCACCGGTTAAACGCCGGTAATTTGCGGAGGACGGATGAGGAAAGTTGCGGCGCGTATATCTGGCTGCGAACGCGCAACAGTATCAAAACTTTATCAATGACGCCACGTTGAAACTTGGCTCGTGGTATTGTACGCGGAGCATGCGTGGCTTGCTCCGGCGGTCGCAGCAAAGTGTAATTATTGATCACCGAAAGCTCATTTCTTCGCGACCACGGCAACTTGATGACGCCAAGACTTCTTCGCGACATTCAGATGGCTCTCTCGAGAACTATCTCGACAACTTGATCGGTATATTACATCAAGTTTCTAGCTCACGTTCATTTCACGGTGTTCACCGCTGCAGAGATATAAATAAATAATATGAAACCGTGAAACAATCAAGAATTTCTGTCACGTATTATGTTACGATAAAAGAATGGCAATAAAAGGAAATAATATGATAGAAATTGGATAAAACGCGCGTATATAATAAATTTACAATTTATATAAGTTATACAATTTAGCTCTAAGTTTGTATGGTATATAAACTATGTAATTTCTATTTCTCATCACGTTTCTTATAGCCATATTAAAAATTTGGGGTAAGAGTTGCACATTAAAAAATTCTAGAATTAAATTGCTCTGAAAGAGAACTTCGTACCCTGAAGAGGAAAGCTAATAGAAGAAGAAACTAAATGTCTTTGATCTCTTGAGATCTGAAGTTGCATTCTAGTGAAACCTACGTAGAAATCGCTAGAATACGTAATTTTTTTGAAACGGAAAAGTAATTTGTGGTAATTATCTTTTTTCTTATAATTAAATGAAAAGGTATTTATCATTTTAATATACATTTATTTTATGCGCAATCATTCATTATATCTAACTAAACTAACTGCAAAATCGAGAATGTAGAGTAATGCAAACGACGAAAACGCGTTATCAACACTCTACCGTTGTAATTTGCAACATCTTATTGAATATTCATAAGACATCTTAGTATATTTTCCGGAATGTAATATAAAAATTGCAAAGCAGGTCGGTTCAAGAAGCATACAAAACGCTTTACGGCAATATTTTTACATCTTTTAACAGTTTTCGTAGGATATTTCCAGCATGGGTGATAAGCTTCTTTTCCCGGAACTACCATTTACCTTATTCCATAAATTTTTAATCTCACGTAGTATCTTTAAGTACTATCGAGCATCTTTCCAATTTCATTACTACTCTTACTGTTTGAAAATCTTAAAGAAAGGTAATAAAATAATTTTTTCAGTGACATAATATTTTATATACCTATAAATAAATAAAAAATAATTATATAAAAGATATTTTGTTGTGTCTCCCTTTCGTTCAAGTATTGATGATGCAAATTATTGATGAATATTATAATAATGAATCAAATGAATTAAAGATTGAAATTATTAATACATTATTGGAATTATCTTTTTAGTTATTCGTATACGATGAGATTTGCTATATTGCGAAATTTAAATGCCAGTAATACGCTTTGCACATTGACTAAATATTTCAAAAGATGAGAGATTAACGCGAAAATATTTAAAGCGAAGAGTTCACTTACTTCTTTTCGCGCTGTGTGCTTGTAGATAGGCTGTGATAATATCGCACTGTTTATCACATTTGGCTATGAGATAATCCTTTCGGCGCAGCTGTCGGATAAGCAATCCCCCTGTGTGAATGATGTGGTCATGTAGAGTCATAAGCAGGATCTCCAGTTCATCCTTTCCTGTGTAAAAAATTAGAGTCTTTGACAATTTTCTTTTTACTAAGCTTTTTTTTTTACATACTTTTTCATAGATTAACGTCTACATAATGCTGGTAAAACAAATGTCAATGATTTAAAACGTAACAACGAGAAGTCTGACATTATTAAAATGTAACAACGAGAATAACACTCTTGTTAGTTTCTGTTTTGCGTAATCACAAAGAACACAAGCTTTAGTTTCTCTCGTCACTGTCTCATCTCATTAAAACGCAGTTAATTCATAGAAAACTTTGAAAGCGCGAAAAAGCACAAAGGCACGTATATTACAAATGCATCAAGCGTTACACGTACATGTTATATCGCAGCAACTGGTTGCGAGCCATTGCATTATTTATAAAGCCAAAGGTTGTGCGGCTTCGAGAAATCTTTGAAAGAAATTTGCACGAATAACGACGATCCGGAGAATAATAATGACGTTATTAGAGGAGAACTGAAAGGAGAAATACGCACAAACCATTTCGCTCTTTTTTTATCTTTTTCCATATATATCTTAATAACGTCTACATTCGTTGATGTTAATAATTGCAGGGTAGAAAAGTATAACGCGTTACTTGTAACGCCGTTATCTCTCAGTTTTGTTACTTTTGTTTGATAACGATCATTATTCTTTTCTATAACAGTAACGGGACCGTTGTTATATTTTTATAGTGATGGTTATGAATTCAGAGCCGTTACTTTTATCGTTACTTCAATCCGTTATTGTTCATTCAACAGATCGCATTATTTTTAATGTGCTCGAAATATTTTATAATAAAAATTTAAATACTGACAAGTGTACTTTATTTCTTATAAGCGCTCTTTAAATGCTTAATACATGACCGTTTTTTACAAAACGTAACGTAGAAAGTAATGAATCGTTGTATGTAACGATATCGGTAATGCATTACTTTTATGAAGTAACATTTAATAATTGAAATAATCATATATATCGAATATTTTCTTTTGTTACTAATGAAAAGGATTATTATTGTAACAAAAACTTAATTGTATTAAGAAAAAGGACTTGCTGTAATAGTTTGACAACGTAATTGAATATTGATAAAAATGCGTGTATGAATGAGTATTATATCACCTATTTGTTTCAAAATTTAGCTAATTCACTGTTATATCCCTACTATGTTTATACAGTGATGTTTCTTCTATCACACTTAGCAACGTAACCATCTAAAGCATGCAGAGAAATTTTATTCTTCTCATAATATTTCTTTTATATTTACAGTCTAAACTCTTCAGGTATGTGCTAAAAGTTTTAGTAGTATATATGTCCAAATAAATACATTTTATCTATCTACGTTTAACTTTAAAGTTTATTATCGTTGCCTTATTTACAAAATGTGGGTTAGAGAATATTACGGTAAATCATTCAACTTGTCCGTACATAACTAATTTAACTGAAATCTGATCTGTTCGCTATTCTTTTATAATAAATGTGATTCGAGTGAAGGTTTTTTCGATAAAAATTCAAAAAGCGAAACTACTTCTTTTATTATTCTAAAATATACATAATGAAGAGACGTTTTGAAAGACTTGCAGTTCTCAGACTGAAAAGATTCAGTGAACTTTTAAATATTATCAAAGTAATTTATCAACGATTGCATAAAAGAAACTCATTAGATCTTTGTTGTTTATTTACAAATGATACTTTATAAAGAACGATGTTTGTTATTTTCAAAAGTTACGTAAACAAGAGTCCTCTAAAATTGTATTTTTTATATTAAATTAAAATGATGTATGAGGAACGATGTAATATAGCTACGCAACTTATTTTTTAGTATATTGTATGTTTTAATTTTATTATAAATAAACATTTATTCTACTGTGCTTTGTTTACGCATTGCTAGTACAACTTTTAATCGTCAAGATATGAGCTTTCATACATGACTGTTTTTCTGTGACGTCTATATGTATATCCGTATTTAATTGTCTTACTTTTCAAAAGCAAACGGGTCTTCTGTAGATATTGATGTTGCGGCCGCGTTTTCAAAGATGATGCCGTGGAATCACTTTCTGAGCGTCCTTTGTCGCCCATCGGTATTCCGTAAATATCTAGCAATAGTTGATCTACCAGCGAGGTAATTACGATTTCTTTCTGCAATGGCGAACAGAGCAAGGGTGGAGGATATACCTAAAATAAAAGTTTAAGCAGTATCTTTAGAATATTTTTTTTTTAAAAAAGAAGAATATTGTAATATAAAGTGATAGTACAAATTTATAATTAAGGGGTAACATCTAGGTGAAATTTTCAAAAAATCGAAAAATTTTTTTATTTAAAATGATGCTTTAGAGTCTTAAAAATAAGGTGCAATTGGTTTTATAAATAAAAAACTTTTTTAAGTTGTTTTGCAGCGGTTTTTTGAAAAGCGATTTAAATATGAAATAATATGTTCCTCAAAACTTTAAACACGTTTTTCTCGAAACCACGTTGTTTTAATTGGCTTGCAGCATAACTTTAACAAATTTTATCCGATCCACTTGAAATTGTTACAGCAGTTGTTAAATTAAATTTTCTAGAGAACACATGATTTTTATGATCGGTTAAAAACTTTTTTCTTATAAATATCTTTTTATTAAATTTTTTGGGTAGAAATGAAACTTTGTATTCACATGTTCTCTTACAATTTCTACAAAAATCAATATTTTAACATATGTACGTATGTACTTCTCTAGCAAATTTAATGTAGATTATGAAAAAATGTTGCTCTTTGTCTTTTCTAAGTACGGCATTTCTACTGCAAACTCCTGATGAAAAAAACGCAGTCCCATTTGCAAAGCTTTAGCGCCGCCATCTTGACACAGAAAAAATTAAACACAAATGATTTTGTGTACTTGGATATATGTACATTAAAGGCCTTCAATCAGAATTTCCACTCATTTTATTATTTGACAATAAAAAATTCACAAAGTTACCCTATGTTTTCAGGCGTTCACCTAGATGTTACTCCTTAAGTTCAGAAAAATTGAAAGTCCATATTACGAAACAAGTTTGTAGAGAGCAAATTAGAAAGGATTAATATACAATATAATTTTTAAATATGTATTTCTTTTGACAAATATTTTACTGACAGATAAACTCTGGAAACTTCTAAAACAGACTGATCAATTCCATATTGACATATATTCTAACTTTTATAACTTCATGCACTAATTTAAATCAACATTATTAAATGGAACAAAAGAATTCATTCTGCAGACTACACTTTTTTATATCGTTAACTGGAAAATTCTCCTGAAGGAGCTCGATAAATCTCTAGTTTTATTTTACGAACATTTTACCTTAGGTCTCTTGATGACTGTATCATGATTTTTGTCGTTCTTATAATTAAATGCGATCATGCTCGGCTCATCTCCTATCGACTTAGAGCGCTTTTGCCAGCGCGAACTCTTATCACCAGCGTTTTCGGTCGATTGTTTGCTATTTAGTTCCATGAAATTTGGTCCGCTCAAGGTCTGCTGTATCAGGTTTCGTTTTTGTTGTCTGCATCCCGACGGAAAAGGATAGCTCTCTGACTGGTAAACGAGATCTTGCGTTTGGGTGATGTAGACATCACCGAACACTCGTTCGTTTTCTACCGCAACGCATTTCACGCGGTAAGTGATTTCCATGTGCTTCTTCAGCGGCATCACGTTGTAGCTCATGATCGTTGTTGAAAACGCGCGTTCTCTATGTATGTACGTACGTTGGTTCCACCGATCGTTGCCACCGTTTCTCAAGTTTCCCGTATCGCACCGTTCACTGTCACACCGTCATGAACTTTGCCCGCGTTACATATCGTACCATAAAGCGCATTCGATCAATCTCCAGTTACGGCTATCTTTGTCGTCGTATTTCCCATATATTCGACTCACGTAACATGGAAACGGCTTGCAATTGCATACTAAACATGGTATTCATTGATACGCTTCTGTATTTATTCGTATTTACAACAGCAATTCAGGTTATACATATATTCTCTAAAATTCTTGGGTTCGTTTTCACAATATATAATTATCTAAAGATTAAATGTTAACAAGAGATTTATCAATCTATCCTTGAATTTTTCGATATATTATATAATATTATTTTTAAAGATTGAAAACTGAGCTACTCTGTTTTAAGACTGGCTTAATTTTGATTCTTTATAGCGGGATTCTACTTCAAAAAATTTATAGAAAGATATGCTGTGCTTTGTTTTGCGAAAATTTTAAAGTTTCCGTTTTTTTTATTCTATGCATATGACATTCAGATTTTTATATTTGAAAAATTATGTAATTTAGCAAAATAAATCAAATATTACACTGCACCATTAAAAAAAAAGCATGACTTGAATGGAACGAGACTCATGAGACTATAGTCTCATTCCATGCAAAAGTCATTCGTTTTTTTTAATTATTTTCTAGTATTTTTATGCCTTTATATATACTCATATATTTTTTTCCACATTGCTCATTACGTCCAAATTTTAAGAAAAAATTTTCCTAAAGTAAGCAAGGAAACATATTAAAACTATAATTATTCCAACAACAACGTTACAATGAGTTGTAATGTTGCTGGAATGTTCCAAACGTTTCTTGCTTACTGCCATTGCAACAAAGTACTATTTTGTTAATCATAACTATGACATATAATGGAAAGTTTTATTGCAAGAATTAAGTGTTATTAAAACTTTCAGTCTCTTAAAAGAATTTTTTTAATTATATCTGTAGTTAATAAGATATTCATGATTAAGTATTATATTTATTATGGAAGAACAATCAATTACTTCATTATCAATTTACCAAATATAGCTTTTATTTCTATTTTTTAAATTTAAATAATTTTTTAGGCCACTAAATACTGACGTTAAAATTGTCAAATAATGCAAGTTGATTCCAAAATATTGGATTTGTGGTGGATATTAAAATTGGAAGAATATTCGGAAATTGCGAAAATTTATGTATAACGATCTTCCAAGATTTTAAATTTGTCAATTTTTTGAGGGCTGAAAATTCAAACAATATACTTACTTTTATTACAATTAGTCTTCTTCAGCAGATATGTCATTATAATACGACAAAATAATCATCTTTTTCTGACTGTTCCCTCAAATTTGTAACATAATATAGAGCAACATGGAAATGACTATTTTAGATGGTTTTTTTTTTGTTAACCAGTGTTATCAAACCAAATCTTTCCTTATAAATAAGAATTTACACAATATTTTTCCATACTGTAAAATTTAAACGCAAAACTTTATACGTTTGATATACCTAAGTTTACGGTTATAGCAACAAGGATATTTATCAGAAATGTTATTACAGGCTGCAGTTGCAACTGAGTAAACTGATGAGTAACCTTGGAACTAACTACAGGATACAAAAGCATTGATAACCTCCATATACATCACTAGTTATATCTAATTATATAATATCTATTTTTATTTCCGCATTATTTTATCTTGGATATATTTAATATATTTAAATAAATATAAGAAAACTTTAAAATTAAAATTAAAAATGTATGAAACAAATAAATTAGAAAATAAAAGACTCTTTATATAAAAATAATTAAGGATAGATGAAGGACGATTAGAATCAAATCATAGATGATTTGACTTTAATCATCCTTCATCTATGCTTAATTATTTTTAAAAATGTATGCATATTTATTTAAAATTAATTTATAGATATATTTTTATTGGAAAATCTGTGAGTATATTTAAAAGATTCTCCACATACATATAAAAAAAATACTAAAAATTTGTATTAGTTCTTTTGTAATCTCTGTTTATATCTATTTCAAAATGTAACACCGTTTTTATGAATGCTCACTAATCTTCTCACTTCACTATACAAGTTATCTTTAACAAACTCGGATATCTTTTATAGTTTTTTAAACAAATTTTAATTTTATTTTGTGATAATTGATATTAGCCAACATTTTGTAAGACTGCAATTTTGGAAAACTATGTATAAACACGCGATTATGTTTAAGTTTTTTTAAAATTCTTTGTGTGAATATAACGGACTTCTTATCGTGAGCTAGTAATTCCTTTCTGGTAGTCAGACCGCAACTGGAAGTGTCGGTGATAATAATCGTTTCATTAAGTCTATACCTACATGCGTGTTGTAACTCGGCTTAGCTAATGGAGGTGGAACTGAAAAATAGACGTGTCTTTGTTGGTACATTTATTTGCATTTTGTAAACATGTATAACTGTAGCGTATAAATTAAATATTTTCGGTGCTTTTCCAATAAACATTTCTTTCATATGAACAGAAAAGCATATTAATTTATTTTGCAAAAATATAAAGTGTTTATATTTTGAATATAACATCGGTTTGTAATTTCTTATTTTATGTTCACTTTTTATGTTTATTTTATATTAAATTATTTGAAGACGAAATTACTGTACAATCGTTGCGATTTGTCTTTAAGGAACGAAAAATTTTTATTATATTTGAAATTTACTTTATAATATGATATATACGTGTATTGTATATTGCATATAATTATATATGTATATATAAATTATATATACATATATGTAATTTACATACACTGTATATATATATATATATATGTATGTACACACAATATATGTGTATGTAAATTAATTTAAGACAGTACTACATTTATATATTAATAAATTATTAGAAAAATAAATCCATTTCTTTTAGTTAACTGGAATTTACTTTTTAAAGGATAACTCATTGTCCATAATCTGTTTTAAACAAAGTTAGCAGCTAGAGTATAGATTATTTATTTGCTTCACAAAGAAAGAAAATTATTTATATATTATCACACTCTGCCTTGCTTAACAATTATTTACCATATTTTACCACTGTTGTCCTCCAAATGCTCCGACAAGTCATTTCTATTATCAGCGTACGCGATAATGTAACTAGCACAATATATAGTTCAAACTCCGTTTAAATGTAAAATACAGTCCAGTTGCTTCATAGTCATTCACCTAGGTAAGTCTGTTGACCCTAATCTGAGAACTGTTAGAGGGGACCCGTATCTGTTTCTGTACATGTGCATAAATTTCGATTTCCGTACTTAAAACTTGGCTGCATAAGTCGTAATGCATAAGGGAATTTTGCAATTATATTATACAATGTATTAAGAATTATTGTAAAACTATACTACGGAATATAACAATTGAGAGATACAAATTTTATATTTCAATTTTTTTTACACTTCCAAAGTTGAAGATAAATATTATAATCAGAATTAAATTAAACGAGAGTTAAGCACTTTTTAAAATTATATTGCTTTTTAAAGTTATATGTACCTAAGTTTAATGTAAACAGAGATGTTTATGTGAAAATTTAAAGGAAGAGAGAGATCTTTCAATAAATTATTTTATTATTTTGCAGCTGTGGAATAATCTGCAATTAAATAATGCATTAGATAAAAATGCACATTATTTGCTTACATATATACCTATGATTATACGTAAAAAATTAGTATTATATGATAGCGTTAATATACGTGTATTGTCTAGCTTTAATTTATTAGATACAATAATAGCTGATAATAATTATGCTGTATGACTTCCTAACAATTTATCATATAATAGTAGCCCACAATTTGCGTCACTAATTATACGATTAAATCGATTAAATTAAAATGGTATTATAATAATTACAGAATTTAAATAATAAATAAGTAAAGCCTCTTGTATAATAATTTATCTCCATATGTTACGTATTTTGTACACATTCGTGTTTAATCGATCATGTACGTAATAGTGTTGTTTCTATAGCAACCGAGTAATCATGGCTATTTTCCAGAAGTGAATTCAAACGCAAAGCTTATTACAAATATTGAGGTGTTTTTGGTATAATTGAAATTACACGATATTAAGTTAATCTATAAATGAGAAATGGTCGATATACCGTGCTCTTGTACTGACGAAAAACTTACGGATTACGAGGACGAGAAATTATCCGCGCTTGGTCCGCGTACAAACGAAGTTTACCGAACCTACAATCTTCCATCAAGATTCATATATCCAAGTGAGTTGTTTACTAGATACTGACATTTGTTACATGATATTCTATCTCGAGTTAAATTCTCTAGCAAAATGAGATATGAAAAATATTCAGTATACAAACATGTGTAGAAACAACTGAATTTCGTTTTTCTCGGATGTAATTCAATGCGATTTACATATTACCGCTTTCCACAACTCAATATTATAAATTTAATTTCGTATTACGATGCCCTACTAGTTCTTTTTTCAATTAAATTGCTACGTAAATCTGATATATTTTTCACGCTTTCTGTTTAGATATCTCGCTGGTACATTTTTAAAGTCTGCTGTGTTATCTGTATACATAAAAGAATAAAACTTGAAAGAATAAAAAAGCTGCTCATAAATATTATGAATAAATTACATTAAAACATTGCAATGTGCATGTGACATGTATAATATAAACGCGAAAAATAACTTCATTAAAATTTCATTAAATAAATATATGAAAAATAGCAAGCTATGAGTTACCAATGGCAAGACTATTTTTTAATATAAATAATGGATAAAATTAGTTACAGATACAAAAGAGATAATACGTTGCTGAACTGTATATTCTGGTTCAGAAGTCGCAAGTAGCTAGCATGATAATGTTCAGCTATTAATAAGCTGACGTAGCCGATCACTGCACTCGTCGAATCTTATCTGCCTACGAGCATTTTTATGTATTTTCCAATGAACCCTTTGCAAGTAACTCATCGCGAATCGTATAATATATGTGGACCGAGCGGCGCCTGAATCTTTTATCGCCGCACGTTGTATAAAGTATGAGATCCTGATATGGTCTTGTTATTCGTTACTGATAATTCTTCATCGTTTTCCGGTATGCAGTCATATCGGCTGCTTGCAAAGTGTATGGAAAATGAATGATTTCTAATCATTAATTTATAACATTTTTTATTTTTTTGGAGTAACATCTTTGCTGAAATTATTGTGCAATATGATCTTAATTTTTATTATTTTATATAATTAAATTGACGATATTTATTTCAATCTTAATTTATGATTGCGCTTTCAATTCGACGTGCAATTTAAATAATTGGAAGGTGTTTAAAATTTTCTTACAAATTTACTTAAAACTATTATTAAATTTAAAAATAATATATAAAATTTCAAACTGTATTTTGCTTTTTTATTTGTGATTTGCTATTTTATTATTAAACTTATTATTATGTAGCAAATTATCATATTATATTTTATAAAAATATTAAGTATATTTTAGATATTATTATTACTCTTAGTAATTAAAATACAATTTTATGCATTTACATACAAATACTAATAACACATGTATACAGTAGATTCAACATATTCTTGCGCCTGCAGTTGCAATTAAAGGACATTTTACTTTTAAACAATACGAGAAGTATTTATGTACATACTACGTTATTTATCATATTTCAAAAAGCCATTTAAATTCTATTTATGTATAAGTAAAACTTGGTTATTGTATTGTTAGCTGGAAATTAATTGACATAGTTAAACAATTTACGTTAAATTGAACACGTTTCACTTATCCCAAACGGTCCAATTAAATTTTTGTGTTAATTTAACACAAGATATGTGTATTAGGAAGTTACATAAATATTGTGTAAAAAATTAACACAAATGCGTAACACTGATACAGTTCGTACAAAGCAATCATATTTCTTTATTAAAATCAATATCTAATCCTAATTTATGTTATGTATTCATGTCAACTTGACATGTTTCGATAAATTAAACATTTCTTATATATTAAAATAATACATTATTTTTATGTTATTTGTTTATAAATTTTGTTATTTTAACACTAACAAATACATATAAAGTAAAAATATTCAAATTAAACAATCACATCATGCTAAATCATATCATGTTAAATTAACACTTGGATATATTAAAAGTTTAACATAAAATTTTAATAAAGATTTGAGTAGATCTTTTCCAACACAAATACAAAATGTTTTTTATTTTGTTTCGATGAAGCGTTTGGTATAATCAACTAATATCAAATAAGAATTATTAAAAGATAACATTTTTTATATTCAACCGATTTGTGGCGCTATATAATTTATAATTAATTAGAAGTCCAAGATAATGCGATATTATGTTGTAGTAGATATGCGTGTAATAACTTATCGCTGATATATATGTATATTCGCGTAATAATATCTCGCAAACATCGTGTACGCGAAGAAACTTTGACGCATACGAAGTTAGTGCACAATCACCCTCCGAGCACACCATGTGCTTCCTCCTTCTCATTTATCTCCTCTTATCGGGTAACGTTGCGGATGTTTTCACGGAGGGCACCGACTGTCAGGTTTACAACCACCTGTATGTCTGTTTGGAGAACAGCAGTTTTCTTCGCAGCGTCGCCTTCGAGGACGTCAACGCTGTTCAGACGATTGAAGATATCGAGTTACATCTAGAGAATCTCGGGATCGTTAACATCGTCAGGAATGCCTTTATCGAGGTCAGCAACTCGTCCGCTCTCTATGCTCGCGATAATCGGCTATCAAGTATCGACCGGCATTACTTCGACGCTCTCGATCAGCTCACCTATTTAGACTTGAAAAACAATACGATCACCAACGTAGAAGACGGTGCTTTCGCGAGTTTGTGTAATCTAGAGACTCTGCTGCTGGATTACAACAACATCTCAGATTTGCGACCTGGCGTATGGAAGGGTCTCTCGGAGTTGCATGAGCTCTACATCACCAATAACCGACTCACGTTGAGGAGAAACATGTTCAAGGGACTCGGACAGCTCGAAACGCTGGTTCTGGACTCGAATGACATACCGGAGATACCGATTGGCGCGTTCAATGGACTATCCCATATAGACCTTCTCTATTTGTCGCGCAACAAGATCTCGACTTTGCCTGCCGACGTGTTCCGCGGTCTCAGAGAAATAAACGAGCTTGACTTGGGCAGAAATCGACTGAGAACAATTCCCGCCAATATCTTTCACCACATGAAGTCACTGCACTCACTCTGGCTGAACGGCAATCAGTTAACAGTGCTGAAGTCCGACACCTTCCAGGGTCTAGATAATTTGCTGTTTCTTTTCTTGAACAACAACGACCTCCGTTATGTGGACATGGCAGCATTTGCGCGAATGAGAAACGTAACTGTGGATCCCGGCTTCAAAGTACGCGGCTCGTTAGTAGACGACTTTGGAAAAGTTCACGGTCAATATCACTGCAATAGCGTGGCATATCAGATACCATATGACTGTACAGAGATAGATTCATAGATTCCGGCTAGAGCTCGTAAGCGAGATGTTTTTATATTCACAAATATACATCTGAGAAAACCGAAAATATTTTAGATTATATTTAACAATGACACACACACGAATATTTTAATTTTCAGAGATCTATAAAAATATTTAATAGATGCCCGAATATGTATCAACATGATTATAACTTGATCATATAAGTCTACAGAAATAATAATTAAAAACCATCTTATTTGAACCATATTAAATAAAAATTGACTGAGAAATTTTTTTAATACAAATGAGCGAATAAGACCAGATTTGATCAAGACGGATTTTGATACCTAATAATATTATAATCGACACACAATTTGTTTGAACTAAAATTTGTAACATTCATATAAAAATATCATTATATGCACCAAGACGCGATTTGACCGAATATGACCTTCTTTATTTATTTATATCAAACATTTTATATCGAATAAAATATTTTTTCGTACATGCGCATGTAAATATTATAAAAAATGATGTACTATTTATTATTAATTAATCATTAACGATATTTGACATTTTTCAGAAATTTTTAAAGGTTACGGTCAGGAGAATCCTCCTCATCCTTGCTACTGGAGAACTTCTATGGATTATGGCTGGCACGCACCAACCATTCATACAGTGCCGACGTTTTATTATCCTCGAAACCATTCTTTCAGCGCTGAACTTGGTCGCGCCGGGATGTACCGGAATTGTTCTCTCAATACAGAACTTGACAAGTCGTTATTTTAAATTTTACGAATGTGACTTGTTTATCTATCATTAATATATACATATGTGTGATGATAATAATTATAATATGTAGTGTACTATTTAAACATTAATTAATGTTTTTGTTCGCTCTATGCATGCACTATTTTCTCTCTTTTATTTTTGTAGAAATTATTAATTAACATGTGTGTACTCACTCATTTAGACTTATATAAATATAAAAATAAAAATTGATAATGTTAATAATATTCTAATTCATCTTTATATGTAACTTTTTTGAACTATTCAGGAATTTCTTACATACACACACATATACATAAATATATTATATATAATATTATATATATATACACATAAATAGTTAAAAAATTACAGGACTCTTATTATAATATTCAAAATACTCTCATCCAGACAGCACTGATAATGTGTTTCTCACAATATCATGTTTGTAAATTAGTAGTCAGTTGTGGTAATAGTGATGAAAAAATGAGATACAAGTTTAACCGTGTCGTGGGTAATGATAAAAAAAATAATTTTTTGGTCACGAATTTAAGAAGACAAAAATAATAAAAATTGTGTTAATTAATATAAAAATAATATAATTAAAACTCGTTTTAATAATATTTCTAATTTTTTATAGTTATTAACTTCTTTTATTTTTATGTATCGATAACTCTCGAATTGACGTTTACGTTATTCTTTTTATTGTTTTGACATCAAGACCTTCGTTTATTAACATTTCTATATACATTACACGTTTGGGTCTTATATTTAGGCTTTCTTCAGGTGTACAAAAATTCTAACGTAAAATAAATTAATGTTAAAATTTGAAAAGTCAGAGGTTTTGTAATATAATTAGATGAACGTTTAATTACAGAAATGAAAAATGGCTCGTCAAGCAATTGGAAGAATGATTGCGAAAATTTCATGTTGTTCTAGTGAGAACATAAAAATATATTATATGTTATCAAAACTATAATAGAAAAACAAGTACAATACGCCTCTCTGGTAAAGAAAAAACTCACTTCGGAGTCCAAAAATTGAAATATCCATGTCAATGTTGCAATAATCGTCAATAATTATATGTCAACGGAAGTAAAAGATCAATATCACATTATAAGTGCATAACATCCGATGTATAAAGAAGAGATAATCGTTGTCTCGATGATATGAGAGACATTTGTAAAATCATAGGCGTATATATCAAAATTCTGTTTATAAGTAGTATTGCCAAATATAAAAAAGTCGAATCTAAAACAAATCTAATTATCGTTAGAAATTCTGCTTATGGAAATTAACATTTTTGACAAAGTTCCTCATCGTTAAGTGATGATACATCTTGATTTTCTTTTTTTTCAAATATTTCTCCTTTGTTATCTACGATCCGTAAAAAATAATTAGTGAATCAGTCTTCTGTTAATATTCTGATTTATAAGTTTCTTGGTAGGATCTTTTTTGATAACTGCATAAGAGAGTCTCTTTGTCATTTAACATACAATTCACGCCTCTCACGTAAAAAGTTTTGACTAAGATAACAGTTGCATTGACTGCATGGGTAAACATTTTAGTTATTCAGGTGAGGCAGCAAAATCATCCACCAATTTTAGTAAACTTTTCTCAGTAGATGATAAATGTGTGGTAGTAGATACTATATTGTTGAGAGCAGCTAAGGAATAGTTCGTGATATTTATTTTCTTATTAATTAATTTCTCTAGCTGTAACGTTATAAATTTATAAATATACCAATAGATATATCAATAGATCTGACAATGATAAAATTATCATTGATGCAATCTATTACCAGATCTATTGATATATTTATAAATAATAACGTTACAGCTAGAGAAATTAATTTATAATCTTCTCTGATGTGCATTCCTTTAAGTATATCAACTAGATAAAAACTATTTTTTAAATAACTATCCACATTGGATAAAGAATCATACAATATATCATGTAAAAAAGATGACAAAGTGTATAACGCGATAGACGAGATAATGATCCTAAATGGACATTTTTGTTTGTGAATTTTGTGTAGTAATTTACTTACACTCTATTCCATGCTCTTGACGCAACCAAAAGTAATGTTCTTTTTGTTAATCATAGGCAATGCAAAATCGCCCAACTGTACAGAACATTGATCATCAACCATAATATTAGCAAAAGATAAATTCACCAACCATTTTTTACGGTTCGTTGATAATAAAGGAGTAATATTAGAGACAAGGATATATTAAACAGAAATACTGTATAGAAGTTTATCATATAGAATATTATATGTTACATAGAAATATAGACTCTATATGACTAATGTACGTAAATTATCCATAGATAAGAAGATAAATATCACGAGCTATTCCTTAGCTGCCTTCAACAATATAGTATATCTACTACCACACATTTATCATCTACTGAGAAAAGTTTACTAAAATTGGTGGATGATTTTGCTGCCTCACCTGAATAACTAAAATTTTTACCCATGCAGTCAATGCAACTGTTATCTTAGTAAAAAATTTTTACGTGAGTGGCGTGAATTGTATGTTAAATGGCAAAGAGACTGTCTTATGCAGTTATCAAAAAAGATCTTACCAAGAAACTTATAAATCAGAATATTAACAGAAGACAGATTTATTAATTATTTTTTACGGATCGTAGATAACAAAGAAGATTTGAAAGAAAAGAAAATCAAGATGTATCATTACTTAACGATGAGGAACTTTGTCAAAAATGTTAATTTCCAGAATTTCTAACGATAATTAGATTTGTTTTAGATTCGACTTTTTTATATTTGGCAATACTACTTATAAACAGAATTTTGATATATATGCCTATACAAATGTCTCCCATATCGTCGAGACAGTTAAACGATTAATCTCTTCTTTATACATCGGACATTATGCACTCATAATGTGATATTAATCTTTTACTTCCGTTGACACGTAATTATTGACGATTATTGCAACATTGACATGGATATTTCAATTTTTGGACTCCAAGGTGAGTTTTTTTTTTACCAGAGAAGCATATTGTACTTGTTTTTCTATTATAGTTCTGATAACATATAACATATTTTTATGTTCTCACTAGGACAACGAGAAATTTTCGCAGTTGTTCTTCCAATTGCTTGACGAGCTATTTTTCATTTCTGTAATTAAACATTCATCTAATTATATTACAAAACCTCCGGCTTTTCAAATTTCAACATTAATTTACCGCTTTAGAATTTTTGTACAACTGGAAGGGTTGGCTTAAATATAACGCCGAAACTTGTAATGTATATGTATTATATTTTGCAGCGTTTAATGTGTATTCTTATTTCTTGTTGTTTTTTATATTTATATTTAATACACTTATGTGTGTTATCTTTATTATGGAATTTTTTTTATTGTCTCTTGACTCTTATTTGCCTTGTGTATCACATTGTTGTATTATATATATATATATACATATGTACATATGTACATATGTACATATATGTACATATATATATATATATATATACATATATATACATATGTATATATATATATGTACATATAATGAAGATATATTACTGATGAAGATGTATCAGGATAGAAAAGAAAAATGACAATGCATGTATGTGACTTTACGCTTATGCTTTTATTATTACAGTTCAGCTTACGTATTGCATTGAACATAATAATGTAACAGATTCTACATCGGAGCGTCTTTGAAGTATATAACGCTCTATCTAATGTATATTATACGGATACCATTTATTACCCTTGCCGCAGAGATATTATTGATGATTAATATATCATTTCGTTTCATCTTTATTTTATTATCGATGCGATTTATCTATACGTATCGCCTAATAATCATTAATAATTGAAAAAAAAACCATTGCGCATACAGTGTCATGACAATTACACATTAATAGTTATTACATTTTGCAATTAAAATATTTCAAGATTCGCATTAATTATTATATTTCACATTAATTATGGTAATATATTAGTAACGGTAACTCTTTGATGGCACATACGTGACACGTATAATATATATTTATGTATATATTATATAACATAATGGACATTTATAGTCTCGATCTATTGTTTTAACACGTTTAGAAGTAAGATTTATCATAAGAACCATAATAAACTAGGAAACATTGGAAATGTTTTATAATCTATTATGGCAACAGGGACTAAATAATGGTTCACACACTCATGTTTTCTTTTTTTCTTGTTATTCAGAAAATTGCGACATATCAATTGCTATTGTTCTTATTGGTACTTCTGTTTGGTTAATTACGAACCACATCGAAACGTCGATAATTTCAAAAAATGATTACCATATTCATCATCCATTCAGATAAAACGATAATAATACAAAAAATTTTATCATATAATTTTTGTCCGTATCATTAAATCGTTGTTCTTGAAAAAATATCATATATGAAAGCTAAATAAAAATACTTGTAATGGATTACATTTTTACGATCGCGATTAACAATCGAAAAGTCTTAATGGATATTACACTTTATTTTAATACGAGAGAATTTCTTTATACTTTTTTATCATAATATATAAAATACCGATATACACAAAAGCTTTACAAGAAGGCGCATTTATGAATACAGTGCGCCGAAAAACAACGTGTCCAATGTCCTTCCAATTTAAAATTTAAATTAATGATTTCGCCCGATTAATCTTTGATATTTATCGGATGTTTCGCATCATATGCCGGCTTTATAATGGCATAAGTTAGGCAAAAAACATGCTTCGGCTGAAATCTCACCTCGAAAAATGATCTACACTCTATTGTCTACATCTCAATTTATGAACTCTATTGCTAAAAAGATCTTGACTATCTTTGAACGTATATGCTCGCTGCTCAAGCGACAAACGCACGATGGCAACGAGTATCTTTATACGTGCTTACTAACTATTAGCGACTTTTGAACAGCAATTACGTTTTTGTATTTATATATGCGCTTGCATTTATAAATATTTGTTTTTATATATTTTTTTATATATTTTGTATATATTATTTATATA